TCCATTTTACTCATCACTTTACACTAGGTCTGGCCCAGGGCCTGGCAGGTAGCAGGTGCTCAGTATGTAGTTTTTTAATGTGCAAATGGATGGGAGACCTTTAGCAAAATGTAAAACCTTACTGAGCCTCCGTATCCTCATCTGTACAATGAGACGCTAATTCCCGCTCGTGCCACCTGTGCATTGTGCAGAGCTGGCTGGCCAGCCAAGGGCAAGCACTTTAGTCTCCCAGGTCAGGTGACCACCACTAATTCCCGCTCGTGCCACCTGTGCATTGTGGCTGTCCTATGGAACATAAACCATCTGTAAAAACAGAGTACTGATCCACAATGAAACACAGACTCCTCACCTGCCTCCACTTGAGTGGAGGTGAACTTGCTTGTTTATGGCCTCAGATTGGAAGACAGGCTCCTGTGAGACCACTTTGAAATACAGGTGACAAACAACCCTGATCATGGTATGTCCCATCAGGAGCCAGGGAGCCTGTCATCCAAGAGGCTTAGGAGTCTGGGGCCTTAGCCTGGGACTTGGGACCCACACAGATTATAGAAAGATAGCCTCAGTTTGGCCACAGTAGGGTGGCCAGAGCTGGCTGGCCAGCCAAGGCAAGCACTTTAGTCTCCCAGGTCAGGTGACCACCAAGCCAGCACACAGCAAGGCATAACATAGTTCACTTCCACAGGAAGAGCTGAGCAGAAAATTCACATAAGAGCATGGCCCCAAGGAGTCAGCAGACCTGGGTTCAAACCCTTGCTCTATCATTTATTAGCAAGTGACCGGGGTAAAGTGCTTAACCTCAATAGCTCTTAGGCTCCATATCTATAACATGGGGATGATATTACTATGTACCTCATATTGTTGTTTTAAGAACTGAATGAAACAAAGCATATAAAATGCTTCAGCAGGGACCTGGCCCATGCATTTAGTGAAAGTTGCATCCATAATTGTTAACAGTTAGTAGGTGTTCACCACTCAGAAACAGGGTCCCCTCGGGGGTCTCTGCGATCAGAGCGATGTTTAAGTCAGCCCAAACTAAGGAAGGCGAAATGAGAACAGCTTCATGTGTCACAATACTCTGAATGTAAGTGGGATTTTCTGCATGCTTTTCTCTACTTACTGTACTTTTTCTACTTTGTTAAAAACAAACAAAAAAAAAACATTATAAAGCAAACAAAATGCTGCCATTAAAACCCTTACCTCAAATGCAGCACAGGATTTGATTGGGTAGAGGTAAAGGTTGGTGACGACATGTGACCCAAGGCCTCCATCCAGAACTCCTGCAGCTCTCCCTGAAGGGGTCTGCTGGGTCCTGGTGGCCTTCAGCACAGGTGGGTGCAAACTCACAGCATCCACAGCTGTGGGCAAGTCATTCCAAATCCTGGAGTTTGGACGAGTGTCTTCCTCAGGTGAGGAACTATGTCCATCCATGGTGACAGTCATGGTGTTCTGAGCCTCACTCTCTGCTGGTGGGGCTCCAGCCTCCCCAGGGGTGGCCTGAGGGATAGGATGACCACCTGACGGGCACAGTCGGGTTGCTATGATGAACCTGAGAAAGGCTTGGGCATCCTCAAGCGTAGACATGTATCCAAATGAAATCCTCACAGATCCTGTGGGCTGCCCATCTATGAGGTCTACATCATCCCCACAGACATGGCCAGCCTAGAAGAAAAGGGAAATAACTCATCTAGAGTGACTCATTCCTCATGGATCAATTAGAAAAAATTTGTAAAACAAATATTGTTCATTTTACAAAATAAAATTGACTCAGAAAACAGAACTACAACTCTAAGATGTGCTGTGTGCCTGAGACAAAGTTTCACCAGCACAGGGGCTCACTTTCTAGATCTCACTTTGCTCAAGTGTAACCTGGAGTCAACACCAATCTCAAGGGGTCATTAAAAAGTTTAAGAGAAATACTTCATGGAAAGCATTTCCCCAGAGCTTTGCACAGAGCCAATTCACATAGGTATCAAAAGACAGACCAAAGTTTCAGAAGCACTGAAGGGTCAACTGCTTGGTCTACCCGGAGCTGAGGTGGGAGAAACACCTGCTGGCCACGCTCATTAGCCTCTCTCAGAACTAAAGGGAGACATGCATTCTCAAGAGCTGCCCTTTGACAAGAAGGTGAAACAGGAATTCTGCCTCTATGAATGACCAACCTAAAGCCACTACGAAGACCAAAGGCAGTGTGAGTGCCTCTTCTGCGAGGTGGGGAAAGAAAAGCAAGAGGTCCCCAAGCCTCTCCAAGCTCAGCTGCCTGGTATTGGTCACTGCCCCAGACACCTTCCTCCCCCAGCACTGAACCCAAGTCAGTCACCCAAAGAGACAGGGCCACGGCATTCCATGGGATCAAATATTACATCTGGAACTTCATTTGTTTGTGTTCTGAGCTTCCCTCACTTTTAAAATAAAACCCAGTTCATGGCTGGTTGGGATTTAGTACAGACAATATTTAGTAACAACCAAAAGAAACTCAAGTTAGAAATTATTCTGAAATAAATAAGGGCTCTTTGCCACTCAAACTATTCTTATGAAATGGTTTGAAACAAGCTATACCCGAAAGTGAAAAACCTCAGCCCAGGGGGAGACAGAGAGGGAAGGGATTCTGACAGATGCAGAATGCCCCCTGGCGGGTTCTTCTCCTCACCCAGCCCAACCATAAGCTAACTCTAGCTTAGAGCTTTTACTCTGGTAGGACTGAACTAATTAAAGGCCCTCTCTGCACATATGAAAACATTCCCACATATGTTTGCCCCCTCTTAAAATCCCTCTTCCGCCTGTACATTTTTGCCCTCAAAATAAAAAATGACTTCATAGAGATACTATCTTGAAGCATTTCTATTTTCGTTGGCCCCTTTCTCTTTGCACATCCCTAGGGTAGGTTCAAAGACGTGAACCAGCCTCCATCCCAGGCACATGAACATGCCTCCAGTGCAGTTGGTGGTATCACCACTGGGTCTTGCAGACTAGCATTTGGCACGCAGGGTCTAATACCAACCTGAAGATGCTTCTTGACCATCTCGTCACTTATCCCCAGGTGCCTTTGACAGGCCCCAGTGTTACAGAAGCAGCCAGTTCGCACGTGGATGTTATGAAGACTAGCCATTTTATCCACCTGCAGATTTAATGTGACATGGAACCAGTGTTAGAAATGCCCAGTTTTGTTCTGATCGCCTGGGAGAATTTCAGATCGATATTTAGATCTCTCTTTTCTAACATTAAAATGAAAATATGAGCCTGGAATTTTGCCATAAAGTGCCATGATCTATCACAGGTTTATGAAACACATTTTATAAAATGTTACTGATAATTAAAGTTTATCCAGTGGGTTATAGATGTATGCCTGAGAAAAGTGAAAATAGCAAATTCAGGTCAAATTCCAAGTTAAGAGCTCATATGTAAAATGAATGATCCAATTAAAAGACAGGCAGAAGGATCTCAATAGACATTTCTCCAAAGAAGACATACAAATGACCGACAAGAACATAAAAAGGTGCTCGACATCAATAATCATCAGGAAAAAGCAAATCGAAACCACAATGAGCTATCACTTCACACCTGGTAGAATGGCTACTATCAAGAAAATAAGAAATAGCAAGTGTTGGGGAGGATGCGAAGAAAAGGGAACCTTCGTGCACGGCTGGTGGAATTGCAAATTGGTGCAGCCACTATGAAAAACAGTATGGAGTTTCCTCAAAAGATTAAAAATAGAACTACTATACAATACAGGAAATGCACTTCTGGGTATTTATCTGAAGGAAATAAAATCACTATCTTGAAAAGATATCTGCTTACCCATGGAGCATGCAAATAGTCGTGACCAGCCCATGATTTTATGTGCCACTGTGATATGGTCTCATGTATTGCTGGGGCTACCAAGCCATCTGTACATAAAATTACCTCAGATGTGTTCTGTCTACATTGCTTTTCTGTCTACACTATGTAGGGTGTCTCCCCTTGCTGACAAGCTCTCAGCTGTCCCTTTCCACTGCTATCGGAGACTTGGCTTCTTTCTTCCTACTTGAAATCGACCATTTCTGGCTGAATAAAGAGAGCTGAAGAATTAAATAGCCACGCTTGTTAGAACTATGTAGAAACGGAAGTATAGCGCCTCCTAGGAAGGGTCTGTGGCCTCTGCAACCATGCACGAGCTCCATAACACCTATTGCAAAGGCCCAGAGGCCTTGACTGCAAACGTCAGGGCCGGAAAAGATCCAGACAAGAGCGATTCTCTTGTGAACACATCAGCAAGACGAAAAGAATACCCACCTGGGAATAACCAATGACGTTGCCACTCTCATCGAGCACATTAAAATTGATGATTGGACCCTGAACCTCTGGGCTGCTAAACTCAGAGTCGCTGTAAATCCGCACCACACGGGCTCCGTTGGGGTACCGGAGAGAGGACAGGGCGGTGTAGGTGTACCGAGCCAGGGTGAAGGTGTGCTGCTTTATATTCTCCATTCCACCTCAAAAACATTACGATGTTATGAAGTGTCAAAGAGAATCAATAACTTTGAACGAAATTCACTCATTTATAAGAAAATGAGGTCATTATAACTGGCACACTTGGACCTAATATTAATGATTTAAAATGTGTAAATATTGTACGGAACTGCCCACACAATAAGGGTATATAGCTCTTTGGTACTAAGCAACAGCTTAGTGTTGCTAAATTTTCCATTTGAATTCTCATTATCCTCTTTTTATTTAATAATGTTACTTAAGTATTCAGATCATTTAGAACCTTTGGTTTACAGATAGCAAAAAATGTACAATTTTGTCTTTAAATGCATCATTTTTTTTTGCTGTTTGTTTTTGTTAATATTTAAATCATTTTAATATTATACAAAGCAATTAAGGATACATACTACAACATAATACAGACAAAAAAGGACAAATATCGTATTATTCCTCTTATAAAAGGTGCCTAGAGTAGGCAAATTTATAGAGACAAAAAGGAGAATAGAGGTTATTAGAAACTAGGAAAAGAGTGAATGGGTAGTTACTGTTTAATGAGTAGAATTTCAGTTTGGGATGATGAAAAAGTCCTGGAGATGAATACTGGTGATGGCTGCATAGCATCCATGTGAATGTACTTAATGCCAGTGTATTACACACTTAAAACTAGCTAAACTGGTGCATTTTATGTTGTATATATTTTACCACAATCTTTGTTTTAAAAGAGCAATTAAGTGGGAAAAATCAAAGTTTGCTCTTTGGGAAACTAGTCAATTTCCTTTCAAAAGTGCTCCTGGCCCTCTCAGACCCTGCCATATGTGGTTTGGGTACTTTGTTAAGCCTTTCCTTAGGAGCTGGATCATTTCTCAGTGTCTGTCTTGATTATTTCCTCTTTGTCATGGATGATGATGCCCGCTCACCTCCCTGTACCATTAATCCTGTCTGCCCCACTGTTAGGTTAAGGCTGAAGACCTGCAGGCAGGGTCCCAGTCCTATGGTGAGAGGTGGAGAGGAAGAGGGGGAGGGGGAGGGGGAAGGAAGGCAGAAGAGGGAGAGAGAATCACCTAACCGCTAAAGCCATGCCCCTGGTTCACCAAAATCCCATCTCCATGTGAACAGGACAAGCAGTGCCAGCATTTCTAGAAACCTAGCCTCTGGCAGGCACCCAGTAGCACAGTGAAACGGTAGGTATCTGGCTCACCAGACAGATTTCTCTAGTCCTGTACCTTTGTATCGGGCCCCATATGATGGGAAGTGGCATCTGTATGTGTATCAGCCTATGGTGAGTGCCCCATTCGCCCGCACACCCCAAGCATTCATCAGGAAGGAAAATTATGCATCATTGCAAAGGCCAGCAGCAGAGACAGTGGTTGGAAGCCCAAGTTAAGGCATTAGTATGGCCTGAGTTTAAATCCTAGCCCTCCCAATTGCCAGCTCCCTGGCCCTGGGGAAGGCTTTAATCTTCCTGAGCATAAGGTCCTTCCTAGATAAAGTAGGCTCATCATCTAGCTCCCCCATGAGGCTGTAGGGAGAATCCAGCAAGGTAACAGCTAAATAAGGTCTCAGGATCTATAACCTTTACCAGCGTAGAAACTCAAGACAGCTCCTCTGCTTCTATGAAGCTATTAATCTCCTGATTTAGAATGTCTCTTACCTGTTAAAATGTTCTTTTAACACACACACACACACACACACGCGCGCGCGCGCACACACACACGCAGCCTCAGTCTCTTGTTCTTGCATCAGAAGTCATTTTGAAGTTCTTCAGGATCAGCTTCAATTGCATTCACTGTACAGCTGCCATGTGCCACTCACACAGATTCTCTCTCCTTCACCTGAATCGCACCTGTGCAGGGGCTCCCTCAAGGACATGGGCAACAGAGCAAATCCTACACAGATAAAAATGTCCCCTTACCTGTGAGGCGCTCTAGGGCATCAAACCCATGTTTTAGCGCTATCACATCAAGGAACGAGATGGTGCCATCTTCAAACCTGTAACCATGGTGAGGGAAACAAGATCAAGCTGCGGCCAACACCTCCAGGTGTATTTTGTGGTTTGCAATGAGGTTTTGATTCCAGACTCAGCCATAATCTATGAATACCTTCTCTCTGCTGCCTTATAAACCACTGCTCTTCTCCTGAAGACAGAGGGCTTTGCATGCCAAGACCCATCAGGCTGCCTCTGTCCCTGACCCACTCTGCAGCTTTCTCAGGACAGGCTGGCAGTGGTGACAAAAGGCCTTGAAAGACAATCACCATCTTGAGACATTAGTAAGTGGAGAGATGCTTTGTTTCCCCCAGGAAGACCTTAAACTTGACAAAACCTCAAGTGCTATAGGCTCTTGACCCACTGACAGGGCATCAATTCAGTGTGATCAACCATGCAGCTACGGGGTTCTTAACATGAGTCTATGATTTCAAAGTCTATAGAGCCTTGGGCTTTTGTAAAAATTATGAGGTTCTCATTATAGCAAAAGCATCCCTTCCTGATTATCAAGGTGGTCATTATGTTGGCATTTTAGAATTATTCACATAGTCAAAATACTCATCAAATCTTTACTGTCCACTGTGTGCTGGGCACTGTGAACATGACAGTGCCCGGCACACAGTATGTGCAGCAGTGAACATGACAGGTAAATTCCCTGCCCTAACACACTTCCATTCTCTAGGGAGCATAGAAACAAAGAAAAACAAGCAACAAACATGCAGAGAGAAGCCAAATAAGCAACAAGCCAGGTGGTGACAAGTGCAATGAAGATGTATGAGCCAGAAGGCTGGCAGCTGCTTTAGATGAGATGGTCAGAGGAGGTCTTCTCCAAGGAAATCGTTTGAGCAGAGACCAAGTAGAAGTAAGGGAGCAAGACAAACTGCTCATTTTTGAAATAGCTAAATTCACAGTTTCAGAGAGAAGAGCATTCCAGGAAGAGGATGCAGCAAACGCCCTGAGCAGGCAGAGCCTGGCACACACCCCAATAGCAAGGAGGTCCATGGGGCCCGAGTGAGCCGGCAAGGTGGAAAGTAGTAGAAGATACAGAGAACTTCCCTAGATGAGATAATGGGCTCAAGGGCTCTGAGCAGAGAGGAGTGACAGGATGGGACGGACCTAGGCTTTGACAAGATGCCTCTGGCTGCTGCAGGAGCCATGGGGAAGCTGGGAGAGAGTGAGGAGGTTTCAGCAAGCATCGGCATGAAGGATGGTGACAAACGGCTTTACGCAAGTTGAAGCTTTCAATGGAAATATTGTGTTTTGTATTTTAATACTCTAGGGATAACATTTGCTCATAATATTGTTACTGCAATATTAATGTCCTTATAAAACTATAAAATTGTAATTAATAGACATACAGAATTGATAATCAATAATGAATCAACTAACTGATTAATCACTAATGAATTAGTAATTAATTTTTAATCAAACATTATTAGCCAATACTTACTTATTATTAATTGAGCATTAATAAATAATTATTTAATAATCAATAATTAATAGACTCTTAGGGAGAAAGGGAGTTTGTTTACACCAAAGGTTGTGTCTCATTGGGTTATCAAATATAAAAGATTAATATCATGGTCCAGGTACATGTTCAAGAAACATCTGGGTTGATTATTAAATCTCTAGTCCTAAGTTCACAATAAAAAAATTAGGTTTCTAATGGTATATAAGTACATTCAGCTTTCTGGGAATCTTGGTATGACACCTGCTGTAAGTCAACCCACCCAAACCGAAGGAAAGAGGTCTGGTCCAGCCCAGCCCACTCACAGCCTGCCCATAATTAGTTGCCTAGCTCCTCTCAGTGTTCAGTGCCCTATTGGCTCAATAAAGTTTAGATTGTCATTTTGTTTGGCCTTTAATTTATATTATGTTCGGCCTGTCATTATTTTCTCACTTGGTTACATTACGTGCTATATTATCACACTTGGATTCAAAAAGTTTTATGTTAGCATTCCTGTTTTAGAATCCCCCAACTACAATCAAGTCCAAATAAAAGAGTCATCAAATATGCTCAGAATGTATCTTGGTGCTTCACCTATATTAGCTCTAAAAGAGTCACATCCTTTCAGAGGTCCGCTTTATAGGAGGTGCAGAGGTCATCACATGCCCCTGTGCCCACAGCTGGTGTGCAGTGGAGCTGGCATTCACTCCCCACTGGGTCCAGCCCCAGGGTCTACGCACTTGACAGATGGCTCTCTTGCCAAGGCCCCCATCTGCAGGGTATCAGGGTCTCTGAGTCGGCACCAGGGTCTGTTGGGGATCTGACTGACCCCTTTCTCATCCAGGTCCCAGGCCTTCTCAGTTACCAGCAGGGTGAGTAGCTCCCTGCCCTGACACCATGGTATCCTCTGCTGTTGGACCCAACAGAACCCTGGCTCAGCTACCATCTTCACCCTCTCATGTTTTCGATCTTACAGGTCGCAGCCATAACCATTTGGAAAATTCCTGGACATAACCCCTATCACCTGCTCTGCAGTCTGAGGAAGACACATATACCAACAAACCCCAGCAGAGGCCTCTGCCATTTGAAGGCAAGGTGCTGCCTGCCTTCAAACATCCTTTGTAACTCAGAGCGGGGCTCACAGAGGCTGCTGCTGTTAACAGTGCCCCCAAGTCTGGTGGCCTCTAGTTTAATTGATTCCTCTTATTAACTAGGGCCAAGCTGAGCTATTCTAGCTGCTGAAAATCGGCTATGCTGTCAAGTTGTATGCACATTATTTCAAATCTTTTAAATCACTGCTTTAATTGCTGCCACCTCTTGTCAGCGCTCCAGGCAAAGGCCTGGTTGCCCACCCTCCTGACTCTCATAAGAGCCTCTCACCTGCTCTGCTTGCAGCCCTTACCTGCAGGCCCTTGTCACCCCACAGCTATAAAGGAGCCCACAAATGAGGGCAGAGTTCACTGAGCAGCCTGTGGCACACTCCGGCCGATCTCTGCCTTCCAGAACTGAGCCCTGCTGCCAGCCTCCGTCCCTGACAGCAATGGCCAACTCCTCTGACCCCAGTGGCCCAGCCTGGTCCCCTGCACAATCCTATAGGCGTCACGGGCCAGACTCTGGCCTCACTGAACTCTGCCCAAGCCACTCCCACATCGAGGTTACCTTTCCACCACTGACTGTCTTGGGATGTAGAAGTCTTCTCCTGCAAGGTATGCGGCGGCTGTGCCTCCTCCAAAGTAGGTTTTTCTTAATAGAGGAGCTGTACGATTATGCACCAGTAGAGCCCCTAGGCCTGTGGGGAAGCCAAAGATCTTGTAGAAGGAGAGGGGGACAAAGTCGGCCTGGTGAACCGACAAGTCCAAAGGCGAGGTGCTCACGTAGGAGGCCGCGTCCAGCACCACGAACCACTTCCCAGGTGCACTCACGGGGCACATCCGCCCAGACTTGACCTCTCCTATCCAGGACAGTGGGTATCTGGTTCCAGAAAAGTTACTCTGAGCTGGGTAACAGAAGAGATGTGGAAGCTGGCAGTCAGGGTCACCAGCAGCAGCCCCTCGTTTCTCCGCTGACTCCATCTCCTCCGGCCTGACAGGGATAGAAGTGACGTTCATGGCTGTGGCGATCATCCTCATGCCCACCACAGAGGTGTGGCTGTCAGTGAGGTAACAGAACCGACTCCCGCTGCTCTCCTGGCTTGGGGACACCCACGGGAAGGCCTCTGCCACCAGTTTCAGAGCAGCCGTGCTCCCAGCTGTGAACACCACACTGTAGTCCTCTGGGCAGGTGCGGAAGTGAGCCAGAACCCTGGAAAGAGCACAGCAGTGCGGCAACAGCGTGATCTTACTCCAACGTGCGGTGTTAGGAATTCGTTGCATTTCTACTAAATATGACATCGCTCTTCCTTAATAGCTAGGAAAAAGCTCAGATTGGCTTAGCCCCAACTGTGACATGAGGGCAGGTACAGAGGAAGTTGTGGGAAGAGATGACAAATGGGTTCAAACTGGTAAGATCACCTTGTTTCCCAAGTCTCCACCTGACACGGGATAAGACGAAAATCCATAACTACCTTCACTGTTGAAAACACCCCCTCTTTGGTCTACTATCCAGCTCTATCATAATAAGTTTTAAGTCATCAACTTGTCTCACGCTGCTTTTAAAATTGGCAACCCAGTATCCCTTTCAAATTGGAAATAACTTGAAATTGTATTGATTCAAGTAACTTCAAGTACCACCTGGAAATTATTTACCAAAAACTAATTATTACATGTGGAAAAATATAAAGAGCTGTTTAACATGCAAATATTAGTAAAAATGGGGAGGAAAGATGACTAAAACAAGATGCCTAATGGAAAATGAAAAGCAAAACCAGAGAAACTTTTTCTTCTCTCTGAAAATGAGACTTAGGAACCTGGGTCACTTCTTGTCACTCTGGCCCCCAGGAACTCGGGCACCATCCCAGAGTCACACATTGGTCTGTGCCCACCTCAATGCTGACTATCTGTGCTTCTGGCCAGCTTGTTACCTACTCGCTCTCACCTCCCTGTCCTCTCTCCTTGAACTTTATCATTGTGTATCATTGTGTGGCCACTTAGCTGAATGTGATCTTCCTGAAACCAATTCAGAACCTTTGTGGGATGCTGGCAAGTGGTAGGTAGGAAGTCCACACACGGCAGGGCAGCAGGGGGTGAAGGGGGGGGCATTCAGGCTGGCGCACCCCCCACTCACCTGTAGCGCACCTGTTCCACAGTGTCATGGGTGAGCTTGCTGCTGATGTTCTGGCTGTGAGGATTACCTGGCAGGTTACGAAGACAAAGCCATCGAGTCACTATTTATGATCTCTTCTTTTTTGTTCCTCCAAAACTCTCTCCCTCAGTTCCTCAAAAAGTTAAGCATAAAACTACCATATGACCCAGTGATTCCACTCCTGTATACTGAAGAGACAAGAAAACGTGTTCACATGTAGGTGTTCATAACAGTTCTATCTGTAAAGCCAAATTCTGGGAACACATATGTCCACCAGCTGGTAAACAGATAGATAAAATATGGCATATCCACACAATAGAAAATTATTCAGCATTAAAAAGGAAGAAATTGTTGGCTATGTCACGAATGAATCGCAAAAGCTTGCTGAGTGAAAAATGCCAGACACAAGAGATCACATATTGTATGGTCGATTTATAGGAAATGTCCAGCAAAGGTAATTGAATAAAGATACAGAAAGTAGTAGATGAGTGGTTGCCTGGGACGAAAGTGGGGGAAGAGGGGGTGGAAATGTTGGGGGGTTGGAGGAGCAACAGAGATCAACTATAAATGGGCATCAGAGATCTTACTAGGGGGATAAAAATATTCTAAATTTAAACCTCGGTAAAGTTGCTAAAAATCATTGAATTATACACTTGAAATAGGTGAATTTTATGATATATAAAATATAACTCAAGAAAACTGTTAAACAAACAAAGGGAAAAAAAAAAAAAAAGCCCCTCTACTCACTAGTAAAATAGGACATGATCCAGGAGAGCATTTTGGAACAGGAAGTTGGCTTAGAGGCAGCCCCGCCAGTGCAGGAACTTTTTCTACAAGTTTCCCACCAGGTGGCCAGACCAGTCCTGTTCCTTAACTCCAGGGAGCTAAGTACACAATCTCAGGAGGCTGCCCTTTCCCCTGACCATGAGACAGAGCCACAAATTCCACTTAACTGAAGTCCTCTTTTGTTGCCCTGAGCTCACACGCTTCCCACTGGCATTGTTTCTACAGAAACACATCTATCTCTTCCTCCAGATATGTGAAGGGTACCATCATGACTCTCCTTAGCCACCCATTCTCATGGCTAAAGGCTCTGCCAATTTCACCCTCCCTTTGTCAATTTCTAGTTTTTCTCCCCACTCCTGGTGTTCCCCCTGTGTGCGTCCCAGAATATCATTATCTCCCTCAAAACATGGCCCCCAGATGTCAACACAGACCTTTCAAAGGGCATGACCTTCAGGGCCCAGTCACCAGCATTTCTCAGGAGCAGGACCACATGTGCATGTTAAGGCAAATCTTGATTTTTTTCTTCTTGTTTTAGAGTTGTTTTTGTTTTTGTTTTCCCTCAAACCACCCTGTAGGGTCACACTGGATGTCTGTCTCTTGAAGCTCCCAGTGTTCCTTTTCCTCATTAGCTAATGACCTGAGGGACTCAGTACTTACCTGGGTTGCCTTCCATCACCCTGGTTTTCAGCCTGGCAACATTAGGAACACCTGCAGTCTCAATTCTGTTGTCTCTCAGGCCAGCACCTTTCCTACAGTTATCACTCTTGCAGAAAGTTAAGGAAGGAGAATTGTAGGTCTCTTTGCAAATCACAGATTAAAATCAAGATAAAGTCTCTCACTGGCATCTTTCCTGGAGATTGTTCCCTAGACTTAAATATCTGCTGCCCTTAGTGTGGCGTGACAGTACCATCATGAACCAGGCAGTTTGGTGGAGACTCAAGGCTTGTGCCCTGGAGCCAAACTGCCTAGAGACTCAGCTCCCTCAACTTCCCCAGCTCCAGCGCTTCCTGACTGGGTGGCCTCAGAGTAATTACCTGCCCTCTCTGGAGCCCAGGTCCCTCACCTGCACAACAAGAGTGATGGCAGAACCTGTATCTTAGCTCGTTTGATAACAAAAGCTGTGACTTAGTTTGTGGGAGCATAGAGGTATAATAGAGATGAAGCATTTGGAAAAGCAACAGAAGCACAACAACTGCTCAGTGCAGGTTATTTATATATTATTAACATTTATTGCTGTTATCATTACCATTGCTATATTTGCTATTGTTATTTCACACTCCCTCTCCAAAGTTATCTCCCGATCACATTATGCTGCTGATTAATACCTTCCATGACTGCCCATTGTTTCTAGAATAAAGATAAACTCTACGGAGAACCTATAAGACATCTATCTACCTGCCTTCCTATTCATACATCCACTGATCTCCTCCCCTCCATGTCCCCAGGCTGGTTCCTGAAACCACAGCAGGGTCTTGGCTCATGTTGTTCCCTCTGCCTAAAATGCCCTTCACTCCTTTTCGAGTAAATTCCTGCTCATCTTCCAGCATTCACTGCACTCCTAAGGAAATTTCCTGACACTCACACTGCCAGCCCACTGTCACTCTGCAGATCCAGAACTCTCAGGCACCAGCGGCAATTTACATGTATTTGGAGATCACTTGATTAAAGTCTTGTCTTGACTACATCATAGTCCACGAAGGCAGGGACTGTGTTTACTTGGTCTCCATTACACACGATGCCCCCAATACCAGAGCGGCTCAACAAATATTTATAGAAGACTATAATAAATATAATGAAAGAATGAATGAAAGTTGCTCCTGTTGCCTCCTCTCTGCGTCATGCCAGTCCCACAGGGTCATCACACAACCAAATACAGAACCTTTGTATCTCTGTGCCTTCTTAACATTGACCCCTTCTTCTGGAAGTAACTTATGTGTCCCTGAGCCAGTTCTCCCTGGCAACACATGCATATAGGAATGACCCTGGGTATTTGCTTGACCACCCCCCTCTAGGGGGCTTATTCAGCTTTGGGTGCCCAGTCTATTAATCCAACATTTATTAGGCAATGATATATCATCTGAATGTAGTTGACTCATGTTTAGTGCAAATATCCATTATGAAGTGTTTTTCTTTACCATAAACATTTTCCATGAGATCATGAGTGAAGCTTGTGAGCTGGCTCTGGGGGAACAATGTGGCTCCTGCATGGTCAAGGTAGACGGTTCCTGAAAGAAAACACAAAATAAAGTTGTAGCTATTTTTCAGAGATTTTCCACTGATTTTACCTAGACCTGGTTTGTGTAAATTTGAGCAGTGCCCATTTGACATGTTTAGACATAACATCAGGCCACTCATATCTCCCAGCTTCTTGATATGTGCTTCTTAATCCAAGTGTAGGGATAAGCAATGGGAAAACTACACTTTCAATATTTAAAGGCATTTAGAGCCCTGAGAGAGCTTTCTTGATTAATCAGCTCTCTTATGAACCTGGCAAAGCATCCCACACAGAGGAAGAGCCCAACAGACATCTGTGATTAATGACAGTAAATCTAGTTCATGTTATGACTCACACCCTATTCTGGAGTTTCTGTGTGGCTTCTCTGGTAAGTGAGTCCTGATTCTGCTTTCCCATGGTGAATTCTACATCTCTCAACCCTAGAACAGTTTTGAGAGCTTCAGAGAATGCTAGGAATGTAAATGACTTTTCCATCCTCTTCCAGAAACAGAGAAAGGCAAATCTGAATGAGAGTAAGTATTAAGGTTTACCTATCAGATGGCCAAGATCAACTCATTGTGTGGGTGTGGGTGTGGGAAAACAGGTCCACTGATACATCGCTGGTAGGGGGACAAATTGGCACAACTTCCTTATGGACAACAATTTGGCAATATTGGTAACAGTTTAAAATGCAAACTGTCTTTAATGTAGCAATTTTTCTTCTAGAAATTGATCTTATAAATATCCGTGCTTTGGTGTAACGGCCTGTCTATGAGGATATTCAGTGCAGCACTGATTATAATAGCAATGACTTAAATGCCCATAAACATGTATTTAAAATAGTTATTGTACATTTGTCTAGTACTTTATAAGTACTAACATAGAACAAACTCTGAGATATTTTCAGAGGTGTTTTACTCTTTCTTTCCAATCTGGATGCATTTTATTTCATTTTTTTGCCTGGCTAGAACCTCTAGTACAATGTTGAATAGAAGTGGTGAGAACAGACATCCTTGTCTTGTTCCTGATCTTAGTTTTTCCATCTTTGACCATTAAGTATGATGTTAGTTGTGGTTTTTTAATAGATGGCCTTCATCAGGCTGATTAAATTTCCTTTATTCCTAGTTTATCGCATGGTTTTACGCATGCCTGGCACATTAAACACTCCACAAGGTTCAGCTGTTATAAGAAGTAGGCAAATAATCCCAAAACCAATTGGCAATCAAGAAAGGAAATGTCAGCATCTCTTCTGGGTTATGCTCTTTCAGTTCTCAGTTCCACTCAGCATGAGTGGCAATCAATTAGCACCCTCGGGCTTCAAAAACCACTTGAACCACACCTGTATATACACCAAGACAAGGAAATTCTCATCCAGTTGATTAGGCAAAATACTTCATACTTCAAGGTTAAGCACTTAATTATCCAGAGCTATCATTAACCTGACAAATTCTCAAACCTGCAGAAACACTATGGAGAGAGGAAGAAGGAAGAGGAGGTGGAGGTTATTTTGGTTTACTTTGTTTGTTTTTGCCTGCCCTATAAGGAAAAAAAAAAGAAAAGTGGCTATGTTCCAAGACTCCTAGTGGTGGGAGGGCGAGTTTAGTCCACAAAAGCCTACCTCAGCCGTAATATAGAGGAAATGCTGGGAACTTGCACTAAATAAATATATAGATAAATAAGGGTGCACACAATTCTGCCACAAGTACAGACTTATGGTTTGGCTTACTTAAGCCATTTTGACTTAACAATGGTGCAAAAGCGATACACATTTAGCAGAAACCATACTTCAAATTTTGATCTTTTCCTGGGCTAGTGATGTGCAATACAATCTCCTGTAAATGCTGGGCAGTGGCAGTGAGCCGCACCTCTCAGCCAGCCACGTGGTCACCAGAGTAAACACCAGTGCTCTACAGTGTACTCATCCGTAGATGATTCTGCCCAACCGTAGGCTAATGTGTAAGTGTTTTAGGTAGGCTAGGTTAAGCTATGATGTTCAATAGCTTAGGTGCATTAAGTGCATTTTCAACTTACAATATTTTCAACTTTCGATGAGTTTATCGGGAGGTCACGCCAGGGTAAGGCGAGGAGCATCTGTACAGTAGATGTTAAAGGGGCTCTGAAGCCCAGCCTGAAATTCTGGCTATCAAACCTAAATTATACATTTGAGGGGGAAAGTGATGTTCTCTCAAGGACAAACAAGGAGGGGCCCAGAACACACCTCTACTTTCCCAGGGTGGTGTTGAGGGGTCAGCCAATGATGGTGTGAGAGATCAGAGCTGGAGGGGATTAGGGAATTATGGGGGCGTGGCACTGAAATAATTATGGACTGAATGATTACAAGCTCTGGGATTTGCTTCAAAAGAATGGGAAGCCTTCCTTTATCCTTCCTCACCTGTAGGCATTCATTGTACCAGTCTATTTTTGTGGGTAGGAAATTTCTACAATAAAAAAGTTTGGAGAGAGAATGTGCAAGTAGAGGGACTAGGGGCTGTCTCCAGCAGGTGACTATAGGACTTTGAAGAATGGGGAGGGAGTAGAGGCAGCCAGAAGGCCCTATGTCTTCCATCTGAGCCTCTACTTAACGACAGACAGGGGACAAACAAGGAGAAGGCCACAGCCCTCAAAGTCCCTAAGGGGAAAAAAAGAGTCGGTAACTAATGAAAAGATAAGGAAATGACCCAAAGAGCTGAAATTAGCTATCTGATTAATAAGAGGTAAGTCATGGTTGCTGTTCTGCCACAAACAAGGGAACACTCACCGACTGTTCATCACTACATAATAAATACACTCAAATCCGGATGCCCCGCGCCACGACCAGCCCTCTTAATCTGAGGGCTCTCCCTGCTCAAACGGTTCTAAGGTTCCAAGAAGCCTCTCACTCAAGGTCCCTAGCAAAAGGGTTACTCAGACCCTGTGCAGGGCCCCCTCCCGCCCTGCAGTAATGGGCCAGGATCCGCCACAGGGCCAGATCGAGCTTGTCTTCAAATTTAATCAAGCTGTTCGACCTTGCGGAACGCAAAGCCTCGTTGTGATCCCGTCCTCACGTCCAATTCACAGGCTCGCCTTGGACTCAAAGCTCAAATTTCAAGGTTTCCTAATCCTTCAGGTCCCCCAGGGAGCTCGAGTTCGGAGGCATTGTTCTGAGCGCAAGGGTGAGAAAAGGCTCGAAAATAAAAGCTGCTTGTGAGCCATCCCAGAGGACTGGAGCGCAGCCTTGCGGGGCTCCTGTTCAGCGGCCACAGCCTCTCGATCCCCAACTCGGCGCGCTGGCGGAATCACGGTGCCAACCCTGTGTGCTGGCAGCCCACACACCGCTCCTGTCCCCAGGCGAGCATTTGAACAGCCACCGTTGGACATTTCTGCATTTTGCAACCCTGGTTCCAGTTGGACCTTTTGAGTTGGGAGTCTCGCAGCCAGCAAAAGCAGAATCGTAAGCCCTGTTCGCAGAGGATGCGGTCAGGTGAAAAAGGACTAGTTTGGTCCTGTACCGCCTGGAATGTCTACGGATCGAGAGTAGCAAGAAGTCTTGGGGCTGCAGGTGGGACCAAAGGAGCCGTATCCACGAAGTGGGTGCGTAGACACATCCCTCCAGGTCTTTCGATTCAAAATGAGCCCAAATCAGGTAACGCCGCTCCCACCTGGAGCAAAAAGCGCCTTCCTTCCACTTGGACTCCAGAAACCTTTCCCTCCCCTTCACGGCCGCCCAGCCAGCTTCGCGCAGGTGTCCCCTCCGTCCTCACCTTCCAGGCGGCGGAATTCGCGCGCCCGCAGCTCGCGCAGGCTGCGCTGGCCGTAGCCGTAGACCACTGGCTGCGTGCTCGAGTCCCGGAATCGTGCGAAGTCCAGGATCTCCGGACCCGGCTGCGCCGCCTCGCCGGCCATGACCCAGGCTTGCCTGCCGCGCGATCCGGGTCGGCCCGGCCCGGAGAAATGCCCAGGCCGGCCCCTGAGGATTCCGCCCCCGCCACGCCCGGGTCGCGCCTCTCCGCCCGCCGGTGGCACCGGGTCCGCGGCCGAGGGGCGGCGCTCTGGGGACCGGCCGCGCTGACTCACCGAGTTTCATTTCTTTCCTGCTCTGTTCCCACATGGGGGAGGAGGGAGGGAATGCCCGTTTTGGTTGTAGCTTTGAACAGCTTCCTGACGGAGCCCACGGAGATGCTCCCTGACACTCGGAATACTAAGTTCTCCATGGAGAGGCTGGTGGAAGAAGCAGAGACTTGCTTCTTCCTTCTCGGCATCCTGGAATCTAGCGATCCTCCCCCCGACTCTCCCAGGCCAGAGCTCCTCGCGGCTCCCGGGACCCTCACTCTACGTGGCGGGACTCTCTTGGGCGGGGCGGGGCGTTTGCAAGGAATCACATCGGTTAGCGTTCCCCAGAGGGGGTGTGCTCAGCGTTTGTGAGAATGCGCTGAGCAAGGGGTGGAGGAAAAACAAGATTGGGGATCTACGACGCTGGTTAATAAAATCGACGGTTGCGCACCGTCCGAACCTGGAAGCTAGGAGGCGACCCGGACAAGTGAGCTTCCTCCGCTCCGCACCCGCGCCTACATCCCGGCTGAGGGAGGCAGAGATTTTTCTCCCGGGGTACCATTTGCGTCAAGTGTGGAGGGCAGGCCAAACCCACGTTCGGGAAGTGCTGGGCCGGGCTTCGGGACGGGCGGGCAGGTGCACGAAGTGGGGCCCAGTTATGAGGTGGGGGCGCCCTCAGGAGCTATCCTAGGTGCGGGGCCCGCCTCAGGGAGTGGAGTGAAAGGGGACCAGGTACTGGGGGTCTAGACGAGGTGCGCGGTGTAGAACCAAGTAGGGGGAGGGGTTCAGATTTGGGCCGGTTGAAAGAACCCAAGGTGGGGGCGCAGGAGTGGACCACTGGCTCTCGAGGCATACGGTGATGGGGGGAGGTGGGAAGGGCGCCCATGCCACAAACTCACTGACTGCGCTGCAGCCGGGCCACCTCTAGTGCGTGGGCCGCCGGCGCCGTGGGACGCGTGAAGTGAGGATACTTGCAGCAGACTCTTGGGCCCAGCCTCTGCCTGTACAAAAAGCTCCCGGTGGGTTCTGCCCCCACCCCCGCCCGCCGTGGCCCATCGTGAGAGCCACGGAGCGCCGTGCGCAGCCCTTCTCCTCCTAGCCTAGCCGCCGGACTGGCAGTACCAAGTGGGAGAGAGACCTTGGGGGAGTAGGGGAGGGGTGGCGGCGGTGGGTGGTGGGAGGTCATTGAGGCTGCAGAACTAAAGCTGGTAGGTGCCCAGTGCCCTGTGCCTCGGAGGCCTCTGCCCACAGACCGCCCCAGCTCCTCTGGCTCACCGCTGAATCCCCAGGCCCTTACTCAACAAGCATCATTCCATTTCGCCCTCCTCTGCATACCTTCTGGCCATACTTCGAGCGGGAATCTATGTCTCTGATGTCATCTTGACCCCTACTCACTGCAATTCCTCCGGTAAATGTGACTGGGAAACAATAATGAGACCTAGCTTTATGGAGCCCTCCCTGCGCACCAGCACTGTACTGGGCACGTGTACACTCTTACCTGTACTAATGATTCAACAATTAAATAAGCAGATCTATGAGGTGGCTTTGACAGTTGGGGAAGCTGAGGCAGAGAAAGAATAATTTGTTAAGGGCACACACAGAAGGACAAGCTAGCACTTAGGAAGTTGGTCTCCAGAGCTCAGCCAAGTAAGTGTGTTCGGCAACCTGTCTGGTACCACTGTGGTTCTCAGGGCCTCGATTTACCCTCATCTCTAAAATGGGAGAGTGATGGGGTTGATCCTCCCAGCAACTGTACTATGTATGCTCCTCACTCCTTTTAATGCCCTACTTCCCAGTGAGGCTCTCTTCTAGGCCAGGCTTTTTCATTATTAACTTGCATGAATCACCTGGAAATTTACTAAAATGCAGATACTGATTCTTTAAGTTTTAGATGGGGCCTGAAGTTCTGTTTCTAACTAGCCTGGGTGATTCGAACTCTGGGGTCCATGAACTGTGCTCTACCTGAACGCCTAGGTCGTTTTCCTGGGAACATAAGGATTATCACTTCTATGGCCAGGTAAAGTAGTCCCAAATCCACAGGGGTGCTACTTTAGGACAGGCTTGCCTGATGAACAATCTGAATGAGCCAAGTCGGAACCTTTTAAAAAAAAATGTTTTTAATACATAACGTTTACCTTCTTAGCTATTTTCATGCAGAGTTCAGTAGTGTTAAGTATATTCACATTGTCATGCAACCAATCTCCAGAATTCTTTTCATCTTGCAAAACTTAAACCCTGTAACTATTAAATAACATCTTCCCTTTTCAACCTTCCCATCATTCATTCTATTTTGTCTCTATGAATTCAGCTACTCCAGATACCTCTTATAAGTGGAATTATACATTATTTGTCTTTTTGTGACTGCTTTATTTCACTTAGCATAATGTTCTCTAGGTTGATCTGTATTGTAGCACGTGACAGGATTTCCTTGGGCTGAATAATATTTCATTGTATGTATATACCACATTTTGTGGATCCATTCATCAGTCAATGAACACTTGGATCACTTCCACCTCTTGGCTATTGTGAATAGTTCTGCTACGAACATAGGTGTACAAATATCTCTTTGAAATTCTGCTTTCAATTCTTTTGTATATATAACCAGAAGTGGGATTGCTGGGTCAAATGGTAATTTAATTTTTAATGTTTGAGGAACTGCCATACTGTTTTCCATAGTGACTGTACCATTTTACGTTCCCACCAACAGTGCACAGGTGTTCCAGTTTCTCCACACTCTCACCAACACTTACTTTCTGGTTTTTTGTTTTTTGTTTTTTTTTCCGTAGTAGCCATCCTACTGAGTGTGAGGTGGCATCTCATTGTGGTTTTGATTTGCATTACCCTAATGATTAGTGATGCTGAGCATCTTTTCATGTGCCCTTTGTACATCTTTGGAGAGATGTCTATTTAAGTCCTTGGCCCATTTTTTCGGTTGAGTTTTTATTTTTTTATTGTTGAATTGGAGTTCTTTACATATTCTGGATAGTAACCCCTCATCAGATATATGATTTGCAATATTTTCTCCCTTTCTGTATGTTACCTCTTCACTCTGTTGTGTTCTTCGATGACAGTGCAGCACTCTTGGTCATTAAAAATCACTGACCTACCTACCATTCAGTCAAGAAATATCTTCAAACCCTTGACTCTGTCCAGGGCATTATATGCTCAGGAGGATTTGATGCTAT